CAGCTTTATTCATTAAAAATTTCAATAAAACCCCAAAACCCCAAAACCCCATGAGGGCAATTTGAAGAATTAATAAAGCCAGGGTAAATGAAAAGGCTTTATCAATAATTAATATAAATTAGTTTTGTTTTTTTATTGAAATTTTTAATGAATAAAGCTGGTAGTGCTCAAAAGTAAATCAACATGAATACTCACTTTAGATCTCAATCAAATCCTCGTTCGAATTTATAGCAACCAAATGTCTAAAATTTTTAAGTGAAAAGGCCAGGAGTACAGCAAATGCTTGCAGCAGCTGGTCTTAATAATACATTTTACCACAGAGCTTAAGATTAATTACTTAAGTAAAGATCCAAAGTTTTGAAAGACACTAATCTTTTAACTAACGCATAGTAGCAATACCAAAAATTAATGACTCAGAACATTCAAATTCCAAGATAGAAAATTAGAAATGGTTCAAAAATAGCTGAATAAGATTTTCAAGTTGCATAAAACTGGTTGAATCAGACCTTGCCTATTCATAATTTTACAATTAATGGTAATATAGAAGGAGGCAGCGTTCCTTTCTTAGATAGTAATCCAATAACTATTAAAAATGAGAACTAGGTCAACAACTTCATAGTTCTAAATGGTAACGGGGGAGTTACTTATGAGATTTAATAGGCTATGCCCCTATCAAGCAAAAAGAAGTCTTCAAAAGCTTAATAGTTGTAGTTAAATTAAGTTGCAAGAGCAAAATCCACTCTGACTAAAAATGAAAACCAAATTTTGCATACTAAACTAATGATTACTCAGCAGCAATAACCACCATCCTAGTTGTCTTAATATTAGAACCAATCAGTAAAAAAATAAAAGAAACAAAATAATTCTATTGGACTAATTGAGAGATCAGATATCGCAAACTATTTAGCTCAGCATGACTAATAGCACTAAACTATAGAGTTTAGAAATCAAGGATAGAGCCAGTTAACAAGACCTAATAGAACTCTCGTTGGCAAAGACATCAGAATAAATTAGACTATCGATACTTATTCTTAAAACAATGTTCAAAGTCTTAATTAAAATAACTTTCATCGTCATAATTAAACTGTATATGTTGAACCTCATCAAACGAAAACCAAAAAAATCTTGATATCCACCACAAATAATATGGGAATGGGAAATTTTTAGACTGTTACTAGAAATGACACAAATTCATAAAATTAAAATAAAAATCTATAGTAGTAACTATTAACATACAACAAGGAGGTAAATATTTTCCCTATATAATAATTGTAGAGAACTAGAAGCTAACTCAGATAGATTGTTATGATGAATAACAATAATAACGATATTGCAAATGTCCAAAATTAAAATAGCAAAAATGGCCCGGCAAAAATGAATAACTTCCTTAACGATTAATTGAACAATCAGAGTAATCCCTACTCAAGATAAATAAATAACTACTCACCCTTAAACAATAATTATCTTTTTCATGTAAGACTTGATTTAATTTGCATAATTCATACAACTTTATTTTTAGAAAAGAAGTGAATCAGTTGTTACCTAGATTCAAGAACAGTCCACTAAAAATATGAGATCAAATGCTGTTATTAAAAATAAGGAAGGAAAAGGATCGACTAATACATTTAACAATAATATCAATTTTAATAGTAACCACACTTAATCAACCGGAAAAAGGAAACCATAAAATCCTAATCCAAACCAGATAAGAATCATTTCTAAAAATAGACCACACAGTAATTAAAGAAACAGGGATGAAGATATTTCGTCATAAAACTATGTTTAGACTTAGTCTAATATGTCGGATAAATCCTCCATATTAGGAGATTACGGTGGAACAAAACCTGTGCAAATAACATCAAATAGCTAGACTAGAAAAGCTGCAAATATTGCTCAAGGATCTAGATTCTTCAATCCAACGGTGCAGACAATTTCAAATGCAGGAATATCCAACTAAAATTTTGAAAGCAATATAAGCTCAAAAGTAAGTTAGCAATCACAGATACTCAACTAAAACTCATCTATAAAAGTGGATAGTGATCACCATTAGAATCTCAATCAAAAGTTTAGCATTGAGAGTTCAAACCAAATATTGAGGGGATAAAATGTCTATCAAAGTAGTGGTTCAGTAGTAGTGTAATAGCAAATTTAAACTCATTCAGCTGAGTATCAACATAAGAGGGAAGTATCTAGATTTAATGAGAAAAATTCTAAAGTGACTAATAGCAAGGCTATGAACATTATAAAGGAGTTTGATCTAAACAGTTTAAATGATGTACAGGATGTACTATCACATTCTGATTCTTATGATGATGACAGACCTACTGAGGATATTAATATTCCCGACATCAAACTCTCCAGTAACTCTCAAAGATTGTCAGATAGTGCAAATGAAAATAACAATAATCGTCCATTGTTATTCAAATTAGGCAAAGAAGACTAAAGCCTTGATCCAATTTATATCAAAGATGAGAATGATAAAGAAGGGAAAAAGTTTCTTGAAAAGTAGGAAAATCCTTAAGTAGTACAATTCGAGATCTTCGAGTCTTCATCAGAAGAGGAGCTGTCTTAATGTGCATACGAATCAGCAGCAGAGTCTTTTTCTAAGAAAGAGAAAGGAGAAAATAATGGAAGTGCAGATAAAGATTAAAAACTTAAGGATAAATTACGCAGAGCTGAGAGGAAAAAATTTGAAAAACTTAAGAAAAAGAAGGATTAGGAACGTTAATAAAAGAAAGATCAAAGATTGATTGATAAAAAAATTAAGCATAAAACTATGAAACTTGATTTTGTAGAAGATGAAGTGTATGATGACTTGCTGAATTTCAGAGACTCTGAGAGAGAATCAGTGATATCTTATTTAGCAATAAGTAAATCCAAACTAGTAGATACTCCAACAAGGCTTATAAATGAAAGTAATGAATTTCTTCCAAAAAAAGAATTTAAAATTAAGAGAACATTTATTAAAACAAAAGAAAACGAAGATGAAAGAAATAAAAGCTAATTAAGTTCAGATAGACTAAGAGAGCAAAAGAAGAGAGAACAATTAATAAGTCTCCTGAATTAAAATTAAGATGAGGTCTCACTTAAAAATATTCAAGAAAATATTCACCATCACATAATTGAAAGTAAAACGAAGGTATCTAATCATTTGTTGAGAAGATGAATGCTCGTCAGGAATAAGTATCATGAAGAAATTTTATTGATTTGAAAAATACACTTTTCTCTCAGATTGCTATAAATAATTAAGTTTCCCTTAAGCATATTAAGAGTTTTATAATTGATATCTATATGTAAGAAATTTTATGATTTTAATCAAGGGGTTTTGGGGTTTTGGGGTTTGGGG